TGAAAACCAGATGCTCCGCTCCTCACCCCTCAGTAAGGGGGGTGTCTTAGTGAAGGGGTCCCGTGCTGATTTTGTGAGACCAGTGAGTGGGGGGGGGGCAGTGGGAACCTCTCCACCAGCCTGGGGGGAGACAAAACCGGGCATCTGGCAGCGAAAGGGTCCGCGACGCCCCGTAGCTGCGCCACGCCGCGCCGCATGGGAAAGACGGGCCCTGTTGCTAAGCGACTAATTGCAGCGACTAATTGGAGCGGGGCGAGCACATGGCGGAGATTGATTGGCCCTTGCTTTCGGTGTGAGAGAGAGAGAGAGAGGACAGACTCAATAGAGAGAGAGAGGTAATTGCAGCTGCTGACTTGAAGCAGGACCCGAAAAAAATAAAAATAAAGGTGACAAGCGAAAGCTTAGCAATTAAGACATTTTAACCTCCAGGCTTGTTCTCTCAAGACTCCTCTTGCACTTGCAGTAGTTAAGGTGGGCTCATAATTCCCTCTAGTATTCCCAGAACACAGAAGGAAATCAGCCGCATCACCATTCCTTAGGCCTCTTTAAGATGCACTGTAATCCTGTACAAAACCAGGCAGAAAATAAGGCTGTAATGAAGTTATTGAGTAAAAATGATATTTGTTATGTTGATAACGAATTGAGTTGAGCTCATGTACAGTACTACATCAAGAAGGGGACACAAGTGGACCATGTGTGGAAAAGCATTAAAAACACATACAGTAGGAGGCACTTCTTTACACAAAGGGTTGTAAGAGAATGGAACAAGCTACCCAGCCATGATGTCGAAGCCAATGGCGTTGCTCTCTTGTTCCCGAAACAGCTGGATGAGACCCCCCAGATTATCTCGGGAGGCATTTCTTTACGCAAAGGGAGGTGGGGGTTTGGAACATGTTGTCTTTCTCTCGGTAAGCAGTTGGGTGAGATCAGTTAGCCGTTAACGTCCAGTGGCTCCCTCTTGTTTGTAATAGGTCTTATGTTCTTAATCTTTCGACGTCTGGGACTCTTCGGAGAGGACCCCTGGAAACGAACCAGGTGCCACTGTGAACAGCATCGGCTCCGAGACAATGGCAGGAGAAGTCCAGCGCTTGCCGATTCCCTCGAAGAAAGGAGCCCTCCTACTACGTGACATCTCCCTGGCTGAAGTCTCAGTCCCCGCCAAGAGGATTGTAAATGCTTCTCAGCTTCCCTTTGTCCCCCACCAATCGAGCGCACGTCTTTATGTAAATTCCGTTTCTCACTGCACTGCTACTTGTCTGCGCTGCCAGTTACTGTACTGCTGTCCTGCCTGCTGAAAGCCTTTTGTCCTCCATTGACTGCCAAATACAGATTTTTCCGCCTTCTGGCAGTCTCAAGAACTCGGTTCACCTCTCCTTTTCATTCCTGCGAGCTTGTCGGGGGGTCCCTACCCCCCCCTATAAGAAACCTGCCAAGGCAGCCCCCCTTGCCCCCTTCCCGCCCTTTAGAAGTGGTGTGAGCAGAGCAGCCTTTTTGGGGTGCAATCGCAGCCCTGCCTGGGTCTTTTCCTTCAAAAGGAGAACACCTCACCCCAGATAATGCGACGTGACCCGGGTCAGCCTTGCCTGACCAAAGGGCTGAAAAAAAAAAAAGAAGCCCCATCAATTGGTGTAGAGGGTCTCCTGTCTCAGTGGATGTGCTGGGCACCCTCTGTTTATAATGCGAGCATTATGGAAAGTCCTCTCCTTTTAGGGACAACAGAGGTGTACCCCTGTTCCACTAAGATCCATCTTGCATGTCATCTGGAGAGGTTACACATGGGTGAAAGCCCCTCTTCCAGGGGGAGGCCATGAAGTAGCCCCCCCTAATGCATTATTGTAGTAGGAGACAATAAGCACTTTTGAAACGCCGTTTCGCACGACAATGCAGTCTTCTTAATTGTCATCCGAGGTTTATGAAGGCGTTCGACATATTTTACAATATTTGTGCCCCGAAGAGCCGTTTTTAATTCCAATCCTCATGCGCTGTTCGACAGCGCCGTTCGCCGTTAATAGAGTAATCGCACCGCCCCCCCCCCCCGCCTGGGTTACTAATTGAGAGCTATCGCAGGTATGAGCGATTCGAACAAAAGATAAGGTTCCTACCGGCTCCCGAGTGTTGCCAAAACAGGAGCAGACATGGCTTAAATGAGCTGTGTGGGAAGAGTTAATTGGCGTCTGAGGAGTCGGCACACAGGTGGAACACAACTGCAGCGTCCACCATTCCTTAATTCGTGATGAGGAACAAGTAAGAGGGGTTATTCCATTGCTGGAAAGAGGAGAGAGGAAACGCTACATCTCTGCCGTGCTGACTGCCCACACACTGCACGCGAAAGCACTGCTAAAAACATCTGGCCTGTTGGCAGCGAATTGAGCCAAGGATCTCAACCAGCTCGGCAAAAAAAAAACACACCAGGGCACCGGCTTCAACCGCTTGTTCCACACCCCCACCACCCTTTGTGTAAAGAACTGCCTCCTACTCTCCGTTTTCAACGTACAGTCAGCCCTTTTATAATGTTGATACGACGTGAGATGCTAATATTGACAGGGGAGGAAATGATCCTATTGACAGGGGAAAAACGACGTTATTTTTCTGCTTTTCTAGAGCCTCGAAGTGCATTCGCGCACCCACACAGCTCCTGCAGGTCTGCTGCGATGCGCTTCACAGACGGCCACTAGGTGGGGCTCTATCTCCATCAGCCCTCAGACTGGCCTGCAGGGCTCGGAAAGGTTGCTTCAGGAGAGGTCCAGCTCTCTTGATGAGATTTGCTTTATTCGTCTTTTAAAGGTTAATGGAAAAATCTTTTATTTTTTTACACGTGAATGTTTATTCTCCTGGGAAGAATTCTTTTTTTTTTTTCTCTAAAAGTACTGCAGATTCATTCAATCCAGACGGTTGACATTAAGTCGCGCTGGAAAAGGTTGCCCACAGTTAGTGTTGCTTGACAGGACATGACGAGAAATCTCTAACCCTGTTGTATTGATTTTCAGATACCGTTATCCATTGATCTTCTGGCCACTTTATCCAGTGCAGGGTTGTGGAAGAGCCGGGGCCTATCCCAGAAAGCAATGGGTCCAAGGCAGGGTACACCGTGGATGGGACGCCAGTCAGACACACACCAAAATTTCCCAGAAGCCAGTTAACCCACCAGCATGTCTTTGGACTGTGGGAGGAAGATGGTGCGCCTGCAGGAAACCCACGTGAATCGGGGGGGGAACACGCAAACTCCACACGGACAGCACCCCAGGTCTGTAATTGAACCGAGAGGGAGTTAACCACTGCCGGAAGGGCAGCTCCCGAGCATGCTGGGATCGTGATTATTTCCTCTTCCTGTCAGGGCCCGGATGGACGCGGGCTGTCCTTCCTGGCGGATGACGACGGGCCGGCAGCCCTCGATTGCCTCGTCGCGCGTTCGAAAAGGCGCGGAAGTCCGGCGGATCGCGACGCCCCCCTGCCAATGACTCCTTCGCTGTCACAGCACCCAGTCTGACGGGGGGGCCGAGCCCCGCTGCGGGTGGGGCTCAGGCCGTCTGCCCCGTCAGACCTCCAGGGGAGGCCTCCCCTGAACACAGACGCCCACCGCCGGGCCTGAGACCTGCGCACTCGCAGGCCCGGCGAGGCCCGTCTCCCGAGAGCTCCCGAGCCGGCGCCGAGACCCGATCTTTTGTTGCTGCTAGGTCTAGCGTTGGGGCGAACCCTCATTTTCAACGCCGGCCTTCACCCTAACTTTCCTTCCTCCTATATCCCCCCCCCCTAGGGAAGCCGTTAAGCCCCATTAAAGCCTCAACATGTATATAGAGATGGCACTTTGGAGCGGTTGTGAGCAAGTGTGTGTGTGTGCGCGTGTGTGTGTGTGAGCCCACTCCTAAAGTCGTCTGCGGAAGCCTAGGGGTTTCTTTTACAGACTGCCTTGAATGGATTGCCCGAGTTGATCTAATAGCTGCTGTTAAGAGAAGGCGAGATGGCCTTTTGATTACGGCAACAAATCTGTTTGAGTGAACTGCCCAGGGCAGCTGGAGGGGACTCCACTGCACGGAGAGGAGGAAAGCTCTCCCCAGGGGGGAGGCCAGCAACGTCCCCCGCCCCTCTCATAAATAACCTGAACTCGGGCGTTCCATCTGCTCCGCGCTGCTCGCGGGAGGCGGCTGGGAGCCCGGCGAGGCCATGGAAGGGACAGTGAAGGCAGCCGCCATTGGGAGTGGAGGCCAGGGAGCCGCCTGTGACCACTGCCAGCCGGATCAAGGGCTCTCTGGAAAGAATTTCTCTTGATTTCCGTCCCACGACACAAAGCGGCTGAAATCGGCGGGGGTGCGCTGCCTCGGCTCGGCTCAGGTCTGCGGACCGCGAGACCGCACACGGGGGGTTGAGAAAGAGGAAGTGAGGGTGGACCCCCCCATCAGCCCCGCCCACTGGCCAATCAGGTTTTGAGAAGTCCCAGGCGGCCCCGCCCCCCTCCTACAGGGAAGGCAGTGCCTTACAAACGCGAGCTCAGGAGATCCAGCACCTGGCCCCTGTTCCTCTGTGCTCTCCCCTCCAGTTGGACACATTACCCATTCCCATCAGGGCTGCCCCCGCAGTTAGTTATAATTGCTATTACCAGCCCTGACAAGGCTTTCATTCCAATCGCAATTACCCAACGCTGGGGGAAGGGAGCACAAGGCAACAGCCACTGAAATCGATGGCACCTCAGGTGCAGGTTGTCTGTAAACGGATTCGAATCAATCGGACCGGGTCTCTCTAACCCCCCCCCCCCAGAACAGCAGCGCTCCTGCCGCCAGATCAACTCGGGCTTGTCCACTCAAACAAGGCAGCCAAACCCCACCTCGCCCCCCTCCCCCCGGGTCCTCCTCCTCCTGGGGAGGAACCCCAGCCCTGCGAGGGGAGAAGAAGGAAGGTTTCATCGGCCGGGTCATGTGTGGGGTTTTCTGGGGGTGGGGGTGGGGGGGATAAGAGAGGCTGGAGAGGTGGGCACGGGGCCGGGAGGGGAGGGGGGGGGCAGTTACCTGGCGCAGGTTTCTCGTCACGCGGACATCGTGCCAGGCGTTGTCGTTGAACTTGCCGTTGACGGGCTCCACCAGCGCCTCGAAGGCCCCGGAGCCCAGGTTGATGACCAGCCAGACCGCGCCCCGCTTCAGGGACAGGTTGACGTAGTCGGCCGACTTGCCCGTGTGCAGCATCAGCCCGTTGCGCTGCTGCGTGCGGAAGGAGAGGGTGATCTCGTCGGTGCTGCTCTGGATGGGCGTCAGGGACAGGTCGTAGCAGAAGAACTCGTTGCCCTTGAACGTCGCCACGGACTCGTCCTTCCCTGAGAGGAGAGAGGGGGGGGTTAGGGTGAGTAGATTGCTCAAGGCTCATGTGACTTTAACAGGGCCTGTGAACTCAAGTGGCTTTTATCTTGCTAGCCCCACGACGCACCAGAAGTCTTAACACAGCAGCTGGCCACACCTCTGCTCAGCGCCGGTTGCTGTGGACACCGATCTGACAGGAGACCTGGACCACCTGGAGGCCATGTAATCTCACGCCCACTCCAGGTGGTTCAGGATATTTAAGGGCGGCTCTGGGCTTGGTCATAGAGTTCTGCTTGGAGCCTCTCCAGCTCCCAAGTTCCTTGTTTCAGTGCTTGCTTTGGATTCCCAACCTACTGTAATAATTAGCTCATGCTTTAAGAGGGGCGGTGAACTCATGTGGCATTAAGAGGAGATGTGATTTGGACATTACAGGAGGGGTAACTATGGAATCCCTGGCTGCAGCAGACATGGAGAAACCCTCTGTTGAACGAACCCGACTCATTTCTTCATTAATCCCAATCTACTAGCAAAACACCACAGATGAACCACAAATTAGGAAATATCGCCCCTCATGTCAGACCCATGCGAGTTAATGAATGAACGATGTCACTCTCGCAAAATGAGCCCATGTAGGCGGCCTGTGCTCTATGTGTGATTTTATTCTACCGGAACACCACAGCCCACAGTCATGAGGAGTAAAACACTTCAATCTCAAGAAAAGCATTGAGTATTTCAGAAAATGCACGACGCGCGAAAATGGAAATGATCGGTGTTGACTGTGGGGGAAACTACACCTTGCAGGGTCCCCACTACACGTTGTTTTTAGAATTTAATTTTTTTTTTAAATACGAATTAAAAAATAACAAACAGAACCCATTAAAAACAATCCAGTCTTCTCTCACGGCAGCCCCAGTCCCTCCCCCGACGTGACGCTTTCGTGCGGACAGCTACGACCAAACAGCAAACCGCAGTTGCCAAATGCGGTTCAGGAAGAGGTCGCCCAAGCCGAGTCACGGCCATGGACTCAAAAGGCAGTGATAAAAAAAGTCCACGTCCACATTCAAGCTCATCAGGGCAGATCTTATCCCTATTTCCACAGCTGACTAATGGCACAACCTCCCTTTGATAATGACACTGAGTACCTTACTGGGTTAAATCTAGCAGTGATGCTGGTAGCCACTGATGCGGCCAGGCAGTCTTTCAGTCAAAGTTCAAAGGCGCTCTAGCAGTGTGTGTGATAGTGGGAACGCTAACCCCTATCCTTCCAGTGCAGAGTGCAGAGCCCTGACCACTACTCTCTGCTGGGCCTTCAAAAGGCAGCTCCCAGATTCCTTTAAAAATAGGCACACTCATCAGCATTTTTCAATTTAGACCCCCAAAAAAAAGTATTGGTTCCCTGCACTTTGTACAACACCGAGGAAACGGAACAACGTTCCTAAAAAGTTCCTGCGATGAAAGTGAATTAATATACCATATAAAAGGATATGTTAATCCTCAGGCCAATATGAAATTCTCCGCAGTGAATGCAGTTCAGCCGTCCTGCTGATCAGCGATAGGGAGGATTACAAATGTCTTAAAAAGTGCTTAAGAGCTGGTGTTTTCACTTCAGCGAGCCTGCCCACTTCAGATCTCATTTTTAAATATTTATTTTTTAATGATTCCTACTGGGAGCAATTTGAAAATCAGAGGGAGGTGATTCCATACAGGGACTGACATTGATAAGGGAGGTCTGGAAAGACAGACTTTCAGAGAAATCCCTGAAAGGCTTAGATACTTTTCCCCTCTCAGGAGACATTAATGCTACAGGTACTGGGAGAACAAGAGGAATATTAATAGCCCACCACACCAATCACCACTAGGAAAATGTGCTGCTAAAGATATGCATGGAGACAATGTCTTCCTGCCTCTATGAGGTAGTGGTGGCAGTCAGGAAACTGGCAGGCTAGAGGCAGTCAGACCCCATCTCCTAAACCCAGGGAACCAAAATTCGATTTGGCTCATAACGCGTCACAAAGATAAGAATTGCTGCCTCACAGTGCTGGGGTCCTGGGTACAATTCCAGACCTAGGGGTGCTGTCCGCGTGGAGACTGTAGGTTTTGCGTGGGTGTCCTCTGGGGGCACAAGTTTCCTCCCACAGTCCCCAAAAAAAAGCCCCAAAACAACCACACTTGGGCTGTTATTGTGTTTGTCCAATAAAAGACTTGTGTCCTGGCCAGTTGCTTGCTGGGATAGGCCTGGGCTCCCCCCCCCCACCCCCATGACCATGAATTGAATGAAGTGGTAAGGCAATGGATGGATGACAACAGCTCTCAGATGAAGGTGCCCGGATGAAGACCAGGAGGAGACCATCTGAGCCGAGCCCCGGTCCTATGCACACAACCCCCCCACTACTTCATGAGCAGGGACCTCTGGGACGTCCATGCGGAACTAACGGAGCAGCTAGAGAAGGGTTTTGAAACCAGGCCATCTGGGCGCGAGACAGGAGACGAGGCACAAACTAAGCCAGAGGTGGCCCAGTCCAGACAGCAGCAGACCCCCTCCAGTTTCTGGGAACCCCGGTCGTCGTTTTGTCGCCTGTCCTCCCGCACTATCGCGATACCCCTAATCCTCTCCACCTCGCTCCCTAATGCAAGAACGCGTAACGGACCCGCTCTGCGAAAACGCGCTTGCAGAACGTGTTGGAAGCGCTCGCCGCCTTCTCAATTGGAAACTAATAGGAAGATGCATCTCAATCAATATATCTGCCTGTATCTCTTTTTCTTTATTGCCCAAGAGCTTATATTGCTCGGCTCTCCGAGACACCACACAGAACGAGCTGCAGGGAGCGGGGAGGAACGTCTAATTCATCTTTTCTTAATCTTCACATCTTTTAATGTAATCCAGATGGAAGCCCATCTCTCTCTGCCCTCCCTCTTTATAATACAAAAGCGGCTATCATCTTCTCTTCCCTCATCTCAGCTCCCACGCTCGAAAGATATTCAGACGCAGCCCTGGCTGTTGAGTCTGTCCCCTCTCTCTCTCTCTCGAGCTGTACCAGCTCTGTGACATATGTTCCACTCGCTGTGTGCTCTCAATCTCTGCGACACAGAGAGGCTCACTCGCTCTCAGGCCCTCAAACAAACCCCCCCCTCTCTCTCTCCCCGTCTGCGAAAAAAAAAGACTTCCTCACCCTTCCTCTCCCTCTCTCTCCAGGGCTTCCAACACCTGTAACGCGCGCTACCCAGAGCATGGATTTCCATCGCTCGAGCTGCGTGCGGGCACACACGGACACACACCAGGAATGAATTCCTTACGGCAGTGCATTAGAGATGTCAGGAATGTCGTCCTGCATGAAGGCATGATACAGAATCTTCCCAGGAAAAAAAAATCTCTCTTTCGTGCAGCATTACGGTCTAGGACTGTGGACCTTTTCAGGATTCTCTGAAACTACCCGACAGGTCACCCTGGTCTGGTTACTATAAAATCACCTGGGTTGCAAAGATATTCGACAAGTTAGGTGCTGGAAGAGCTCACTCCCTGGAACAAGGCAGCCTGATTTTAATTCTCCATTTTTATTACCGTTTTAGAAAACTATTTTGGAAACTATGTGTTGGCGCCTTTTAAGCCACGATCAGGAGGCACTTCTGGCTACACAAAGGGGGGGGCGGGAGTGTGGAACAAGCTGCCCAGCCATGTCATTGGCAAGCTGAAAGCCCTGGCTGCTTTCAAGAAACGGCTGGACGAGATCACCACCAGGACAGGGGGGTGCTTCTTTACACAAAGAGTTGTGGGTGAGTGGAACAAGCAGCCCAGCCATGTTGTTGACAAGCTGAAAGCCCTGGCTGGGTGAGATTCTGGGATCAATAAGCTACTGACTATGAAACGAGGCAGATGGGGCGACCGTCTGTTTCTCCCTGCTAGCCTCTCTCATGATCCCGAAGTCTCGTCTCCAGGCAGGGGGCGTTCATTTGCACAACTAGTCAATGGCAAGATCGGCACAGAGCGCCTGTGATGGTGCCCTTACACAAAACCCTGCCACATTGCTTAAACAGGAACTGCAAGGCTGGTTTGACATTTCGAGGTAAGAGAATCAGCAGTGATGAGGGCATTCGAAACCACACTCCAAGTAAAAGGCACACAGTCACATCACAGAATAGAGGAAGTTTCCAGGTCTGCTCAGCGCCATGTTCTGGGACTCAGAACGAGGCAGCAGGACTTCCGGTGAGGTGGAGCCGCCCTGTGACCCTGTAAACAAGCAGGCTTGTGAGTCCAGCTCTTCTGATCCAGTAGAAATAC